GAAGCTGAGTAAGTTAAAAGATACGAATAATATATTTTCTTGTTTTTGTTTAGGGGCAGCTTAAGACTTTGATCTATCAAAATGTAGTTAAATGAGTTTAAAAGAGAAGTTGTGAAATAATGAACTATTGATATCATTCACTTAACCTTCTTTTGCATATGTTACCTATATGATAACAGCGAGTGATTATAAATAATATACCTCTTTTTAATACCATTACTACATTATCATCATGTTTTTCGTCTTAAAATTATTTTGCTATTGTTCTAAATTCGAATTTGTATTATGATTGCAATAATTACGTTGTGAAAAGAAATATGTTAACGTTGCATTAATAATGTGTTTATGTTTCTCGAACAAATATTTACTCTTACTTTATCGACATTATTTTATACGATTATCGTTATCATTGTTCCAACATCATCACACCAACATCCTCATCATCATCATCATCATCTTCACGACAATAATAGTAATAATAATAAGAATACGAATATACGAGATTTGTATCCACTTGAAAGCTAATACTCAAAGGGCACTTGTAAAACAACAGAAACAAGATATCATGTAAAAGCATCTGCATTATAAACAAAGAAACATGAGTAAGATAGAACATACAAACATGCAAGAACAATTCATTGTATTCTGAATTAAACAGATACGCTTCAAGATTATTTATTTAAATAACTCACACCCAGGTTACAACATATATGAGCTACATTGGTATTAAGGCCAGCAAGGGTAATGGAAGAAACATATAGCTTATTTAACTGTGTTTTGGAACCATATCATACAAATTTACAACAAATGTGAGTTTTGAAAGTATTACGAACATTTCATACGCAAGCCTCAAGATAATGGATAATGCTGTATAAATCTGTATAAATAAGATAATGAAAAGAGAAGTGTGGAAGAATACTTTTCAGACCAATTAAATAAAGTGGGAACAAAAGGGAATATTCAATTTGAAAATTTAGCCCTCTTTTACTAGATTCCCCCATATATCATTACAAATATATTTGTCTAATTTCAGTTAAAATACCATGCAATGGTATTTATTCTTCTTCTTCTGATTAAGTCTGCCTGGGCGCGTTTTATGTGCATTCGAGTGCTATTTACATGATAATATATACATGTAATCTCCATATGTTTATTCGACTATATTAGTACTTTCATGGCTAGATATTATTGTATGTTTTTTTTAACATCTATTGAAAGAACAGTTCTTGTCATTCTTATTGTTTTTTGCTTTTGATTTATGTAATGAATGTGAATGTGAAATATGAAATAAAACTAAACTGAGACTGAATGGACCCGCCCACAGAGCCCTGTAAGAGGTAAACAAAATCTTAAGTATAACTATTTATCAAGACGGCTTGCGAATGAAATGACAGGTATGATCTGGGCCATTGTAGGGAATGGCCTTTAAAGGCACACTGTCCTACTTGTAGCTACTTGCTCCCTCTATATAGAAAAATTCCCCAATCGGTGCATGTTGTTCCCCCATGATCCTCTATTTCTTATGTTATTTGAGAACTGAGTTGATGAGATAGCCACATGTCAGTGACCTTGCTGTGTGGTCTAATCCCTCCTAGCCACACTAGTGTTGATAAGCTTTGATACCGAGAGACGTAAGAAAATTCAACAAAATCATCATCATCTTCATTTTCATGTTAACGGTCAGTCGACTTCACATCATTATTTTTTACTATTATTTAGAAGAATCGACTGGAACGAATATCATAGTTGCACGATATTTTGAAACATAAATATAATTTGTTTTCTTCGTTTTTTCTCTCCTTCAGATTGGGTGATGCAGGCGCGACGGTATCTAACACTCGTTCTCATAGCTTTGCTCCTTTCCAGCTGTCAATTAGCAGGTAAACTGGTTTGTCTTTATTTACAGGCCTACATCGACTATAGTTCATTCTCTGAGCTTCTAATCGTTAGGTTTGGGGTTCAAATCACATCCCGGTTCCAATGTCATACCACCCTGAACAGAAATACCTGGCACGCTTAAGACCTACTTCAAAGTTCCTATCAATCAAATGAGGCGTTCCACGAGGGTCAATATTAGGCCCCTTCATTTTTCTATTATATTTGATATAACCAATACAACGTCTTTGTTATCGTTCATATCATTTGCAGATGGCACGAAAACAAATTGTTCACATCATAACTTTAAAACCCAAGTACATGCCGTTAATAATGAGTTGCCAAAATTGTCTCAGTGGTTTAAATACCAACAATTGTTCTTTAATGTAAATAAAAGCAATTTCTTGCACTTAAGCGCGCACCTTCTCATGCAACTTAATTTTCTCACAACATAATTATGTATAGATAATGTTCCTCTCGAAAGGAAGAGACAGGCATAATTTGGGGTTGTCATTATCGACGAAAATTTAAATTGGAATGAACATATACGTCTTATCACTACTTTTATTTCTGGGAATGTTGATATACTATACAAAATGAGAAAAAATATCTAATGTAACACGCTTATTATGCTTTATATTCATTGGTATTATATGCCGTATAAAACATATTATAATGCAGAGTGGGGCACCAGCGCCAAAACCAAAATAAACTATATTCACTCATTACAAACGAAAGCATTTCGCGTCTGTACTGGTTTACATTTTGTTTCTCACATAAGTCCAATATTCTGACACTGATGAGAGTAAATATATTTTCATTTATGCACAATAATGGAGTTATGCTAAAATCATCAAATGTCTTATTTTGTAAACATAAAATATGTGTTTCAAGTTCAAATTGCTATTGTTCCACATTTTACACAAAATATACAATACATGTAGTATAAATGAGCACGTCTCAAAGATTCTCAATTCAAATAGTAGATTAAGTAGAATGAGAGGAACCTATTAAAAATCAGTGCTTGTAGTTATAGGTTCCCGGAAAAATAAGTATTGTAGATGAAAAAACCGTTGTGCTTGTATGGAGAGCAAGTTATGATTGGACAGGACCTGCCCTAAGAGAATGTGAGAGTGAACGAAAAAATATAATTTGTGCCAATTTGAAAATGCAATGTTAATTCATTCAGACTTTTGGATTTTTTTAATGATACATAACCAGAGAAAAAATTTTAAAAAATGCAATCGCTGTTATTTATTATGCAGACAGTCAGCAATGCATTGCCCGATCATCAGACACAAACGATCTGGGAGAGTGGTCGGGAAGCATTCGGTCGGCAAACTTTGGCCGAGTGGCGTACCCGAACAACGAAGACTGTCAATGGGTCATTCGGCTTTCACTCGGCTCCAGAATCTCGCTGCATTTCAAAGCGTTTGAATTGGAGCAGCCTAGTGGTGGCAGATGCTACGATTTCATTGAGGTTTTTACTTTTGTCTTATTTCTAAACGTTAAAGGAATTTAAAAAATAAAGAATGACGTGTTTGGTTAATCAGAAATAGACATTTGGTATAAATAGACATTTGTTAATTCATTAAAATACCAAATGTCTTTTTGTTCCTATTTAATAATTGTTATACTGGCTGATACAAAAGAAAACAACATTGCGGAATGTTGATGAACTTACTATAGGCTATGTTAAAAAAAGAGTGATGTACATAAGATCTAAGGACAATTCTGTTCCCACAAACTTTATTTTTCTTAGTTCAAATATTCTAGATTCTTGATTCTTTAGTTCGGAAGTTTTAAATGTCTCGCGTCAGTTCAGACAAATTGTGATTTCGGAGCAAAAAGGCACTTTTTGTATATCAACAAATTGTGTCAATATAAAGTTCATAAGTTCATTTTGTTTTCCACAACAATAAAAGTACAAACGTGTACGGAAGATCTAAAAGCCTGTTAAGGCGTGCAACTTCGAGAAATCAAAATACGAAAGCAAAGCAGTCGACAAAATGGCATTGACGATTTCACATAGGTCAACAAATTGAAACAGAATGAGAAAACAAAATTATATCATTGTCAAAGGAACCAACATGAAGACGGTCTTAAAGATTTCGGCACCGAACAAAAAAAAAAGAGTAGTGCGTGTTCAATTCTAGTAAGCAAAAATGAGTCAGTTACATTATGATAAAATTAAATATAAATACATATTGCACAATACAGCGATATTATTGTGGTCAATTTATAATAGAAAATAATCGTTTATGAAATTTTGATTTAAACAAAAAAGAAGGAAAACAAATGGTGCTTTTTTTTCTCTAGATTTTTGACGGTGGAAACACCAATGCTCCATCCCTCGGTATCTTCTGCGGGTCGACGATCCCGCCTGATATGACGTCATCAGGACACGAAGTGACTGTAAGGTTCCAGTCAGACAACACACAAGGCTTTAGCGGATTTGAACTGGAATACACAGGTCTGTATATACTGCTTTTTATGTGAAGGATCATAAGTTAAGAAGAGAAATGGAAGAAGAAAGAGGAGGATGAAGAAGAAAAAGAAGATGGAGAAGAAGAAGAAGAGAAAGAAGAAGAAGGAGAAGAAGAATGAGAAAAGGAGAGGGAGGACGAAGAGAAAGAGGAGGAGAAGGAGGAAGAGGAGGGGGAGAGCTCGATGCAGACTGAGGAGAGTGTTGGAAGCTATTGTAGGTGAGAGAGAGAGAGAGAGACAGACAGACAGACAGACAGACAGACAGAGAGAGACAGACAGACAGACAGAGAGAGACAGACAGAGAGACAGACACAGAGAGAGAGAGAGACAGAGAGAGGGAGACAGACAGACAGAGAGAGAGAGAGAGAGAGAGAACAACATACATATTTAACTGAAAAGTTAGAAGGATCACAAATATATGAATTTCATCAACAAAGGGAATTGTTTCATTTTAATTTTAATTTGAAACACAATAAAACACATATCCAGGGATCTCGAAGCAACTGCAGCAGAGCAACATCGAATGCCTAACAAAATTACTTGGATTGATAAAGTACAAATGACTTGCCTACTGACTTTTTTAAGGAAGGTAAAAGCCTGAAATATATATAATGTCTCTGATTCTGTGATTTCAGGAGGTTGTTCTGCAGTCTCGATCCCCCTCGCAGCCGACGAGACCGTCGCCATCGAGTCTCCTCTCTACCCGACCACTCCCCTGTCTCAGGCGGCCTGTAGTTGGTCCCTGGTAGCACCCGATGGATACTATGTCGAGGTTGAATTCACCAACTTCCAACCGAGCAGCGATTCGTGTGATGACACAGCGGTAAAGGTATGGGAAATCACGAGCATTTTTTTACAATATAAGAATATAAGAATCTGATCCGACTTCATCATTCAAATTTATAATAAGATATTCTCACTAGCAAATTATTCTTTATAGGTTTATGATGGAGACGTCTCGCTATCTAGCGTTTTGATGACGGTTTGTCCTGACACGACAGCGCCATCGAATCTGATGTCGACTACCAAGACCCTGGTCATCGTTTTTGAAAGTAGTCAAGACACATCCCTCGTATTCTCTATCCAAGGCACAGCAAGTAAGCGCTTTGTGTTACTATGCCATAACGTTGGACTAAATGTTACCTGTCTTCGTTAAAGGATTGTGATCAGATTTATTCTTGATCTAAATGGTTTATATATTCTCAGGGCTTCATCTATCAAGAATAAATCGTTATTGGCTCAATCATGTAATGAAGAAGTAAGAAAATTATTCCAACTTCATTGGCAGCATTGTAGTTAGAATTTGACTGGAATATGATTTGATTTAGACATAGGTCTATCATTCTATACATACTCTAAAACAATTAACGTGAAATAAATTATAATAATAGTAATCACATTTGAACCGCTTATAACTACGATGACACTTCATTGAAACCGTCCGTACATGTGCCTCCATTTTGACAGGGGTTGATGGAGCGACCCCGGCCATTGGATTCAATTGCTAATCCGCATATAAAAGAGCACACGATCAGCTTCCGTCGCATCCTACCGGGTGTACCCAGTAAACACCTGGGTGGAGAGTGGCTAATGTAGATCAATGTCTTGCCAAAGAACATTTAGTGCCGCGGAGGGACTCGAACCGCGAACCATGCGATCTAAATTTCGGTGACATATTTACTAGACCACGACACCACTACGAGAAATATATGTTTAAAATTGTGTTCATTTTGAATACATTTTCTTCCTTTTTTTAGTAGGGGCTTCGTTAGACCAAATTGAATAGTGTGATATGGGGATGCTGACAAATGAGCCGACATTTTCTCAACAAGCGTTTAAAACAAAACAAGACAAAAATGATGGAGGCCAACAGATCGCCTCATTGTAGAATTTGCCGAAGATTCATTTCCTGGAACCAAATAATCTCTCTCTATATATATTATATACAAACCTTAATTCGTTCAACTAGTCAGAAAAACTTTAGACAGTTTGTTCTAAGTAAAACTTTGCTTATAGCATGTTTACTCTACATTTTGGCTAACGTGTAATTACTGTTTATACTGATGTATAGAGTACCGAAGCTGTGACGTCATAAAAATCTATTTTTAGAATTTCTCTTTTTTTTTCTTCATTTTCCGAAAGAGCATCAAAAATAATGTCAACATGTCGGAAACCAATTGAATCTGTTTAGTATTAGCTGAGATATAACCATCTGAATAAATATGTGTCCTATGGGAGCTCAGTGTTATTATGCTCTGGCTCCTAACCATTAGGAGCCAGAGCATATAACACTGAGTTCCTATAGGAAATATATTCATTTAGATGGTCATATCTCAGCCAACACTTAACATATTCAATTGGTTTTCGATATTTGGACATTATTTTTGATGCTCTTTCGGAAAATAAAGAAAAAATTGAGAAATTATAAAAATAGATTTTTGATGACGTCACACTTCACCACTCTATAGAGAAACTTATAGCCCTCTTCACTACTTTACAGCTATTTGCGCCCTCTATACAGCAAACAATGCCTAAACGATGACCGTTGGTCCCCAATGGTCCCCTTTTTGTTATGTTCATTGAGAACTGATTTGATGAGATAACCACCTGTCAGTGACCATGCAGGGAGGTCTAATCCCTCTTGGCCGAACTAGTGCAGATAGGCTCTAAGTATTGGCTGAAATAAAAAAATAAAAAAATAAAAAGAAAATCAACCTTTTCTCTTGTTTAGGAGTCCTACCCTGCTCTTCAAGCCCTTGCCTGTCCGGTGGATCCTGCTCAGACAAGTTACAGCTGACTCCTCCCACCTACCAGTGCACATGCACATCAGCATACGTGGGTACGCAGTGCGAGACGGAGGCCGATGAATGCGCATCCAATCCATGCAGTACGCATGCGCAACAGTGCATCGACCAATTGGACAGCTTCGAATGCGTTTGCAGTTCAGGATTCACAGGTGTCTTGTGCGAAACAGGTATATAATATGTTGTTCTATATAGTTTCTTAAAACCTTTGTATGCCTACTTATCATAAACACATCCAAATAATTCCATTTGATTATATTCTCTACCGTATAGAGTAGGGCCTACAACTCCTACATTTCCACCTTGACAATAGGCCCCCGACTCACTTCCTACTTGTCATTGGCAACGCATACATTACACTTGCTTTTCTTACCATAATGTTCATTTACCTGTGCATCCCATTTACACGTGCTATCCGTCAATTTTCAAAGGAAATTTACTAGACATTATATTATTATAATGCCGCTTGTATCATACTGATTATAATTTCCTTAGTAATAATTTCCTAAGTGATATCCATTTTTGTAGGAATATGCGATGTAATACATTTGTCATTTTTGTTTTAGTTTTTGGAAGGAGGGGGGGGGGGGGGGGGGTTAAGATGTATTTTTTTTTCAAACAATGTGTAATATTGTATGTAAGTCAATGTTATGTTTATATATATATATATATATATATATATATATATATATATATATATAAGTTGGTTTGGGAGCAACATGTGAGGGCTCACATGCCTCCGGGTAATAGTGTTGAATTTCACTTTTGTGAGCCCTGGCCCACACGTTGCTCCCTCCCTTTTCCTCTTGTATTGTTTATGTATTGCATGATCTGTCAAAATGTATTTGTATTGTGCTTTTATGATTGGCCTAATAAATAATAATAATAATAATAATAATAATAATAATAATAATAATAATAATAGTATTTTGTACAGAAGATCATGACATATATTACACGTATGAGACATCTGTGCATCTGGGTCAGGGAACATGGTCGATTTTCTTGATTTCGTTGATCACAATTAACTCATATTGAAATCACTTGGCAAACGTCCTTCATTTGGTCATGTTTGTCTGTTTGTACTTTTGAGCATTCAGTACAAGTTTGTTTGATTACATGATAATTTCTTTTCGTTAATTATTGAGATTAGTTAGATATTGCATATTATATGAAAAAATCTGCCCATTTTTTTCTTCTTCTTCATTTGCCATCAAATTTAAAGATATCAACGAATGCAGTAGTCCAGATGTGTGCTTCAATGGTGGCGTTTGTATCAATAGCGAAGGCTCCTTTGAGTGCCAGTGTGCTGTTGGTTTCATTGGACAATTCTGCGAAACGGGTAAACAGGAATATATTTTTGTTTTGTTTGTTTGCCTTTTTCTTCAATGTCTTTCCTTCAAAGTGACATTTTCATTATGATTCTTTGTTACCCTGTTACCTCTAAACAAAGTATCATTTCTTCGGTACTTTCTTTTTTGTTAGGTTGTTTGTTGTAGGTTTCCATTAAACTACATTATCTTAACCCTACAACACAAAGTGTACATCAATGGAGAAAGGCATCGTCAGTTTTTATTTCAGAGCTGCATCGCTCACCGTTATGGTTTGCATTTCTTCATAATTATGATCAGATAGGTTTACGTGGATATTCTCCTCCACTGTTGATTATCTACCGAGTAATGATAGGATGTCATTTGAGCGGCTAACTAGAACAGCTGAAGAAATGAAGTTATGGAGAATTTGTGTCTCAAGGTCTTTTTAATTGTCCAAACTATGGGACTTACAAAGATAGATATATGGAAGTGATAGAATTATTGGTATTTTCCATTTTTTGTGTCCAGATATCAATGAATGCGACGAGAACCCTTGTCAAAATGGAGGGTCATGTACGAACGAGGCGGGCGGCTTTTCCTGTGATTGTTTTCCGGGATATGAAGGTGCTACGTGTGCACAAGGTAAATTTCATCACGTTTGTAATCAGCATTCTAGATAAAACAATGAATTATAACGAAAAATCGCTAATGCAAGTCACGTGACATAGCAAAACTACATGATATTTTGTATTTTGTGTTCTTAGTTATCAATAAACCGAAAAGAATTTGAATTAAAATGATGATGAAAATTTATCTGAAAGAATGGTGACGGAAGAAGATTATCATGGTCAAGAATTTAGGAATTTAAATCCTATATGCACTAGTTTGGCAGGAGGGATTAAACCTCCCTGCATGGTCACTGACAGGCGGTTATCTCATCAAATCAGCTCTCAATCAGCTTAAGAAAAAGGGGACCATGGGGACAAATGGTCTCCGATTAGGCATTGTTGGCTATATCGAGGGCGCAAGTAGCAATAATATAAGTAGTGCAGTGGGGCTTTAAGACATTTCGACAAGGTTTTTCTTCAACTTCACCCCTTAATTGTTTAATTGACAGATACAAATGAGTGCTTGCAGTCGAACACATTATGCCAGAACGGAGGTCAGTGCGTCAATTCAGAGGGATCCTATCGCTGCGAGTGCCTTGCGACATACTCAGGACAGCACTGTCAGGAAGATGTCGACGAGTGTGCAGCTAACCCCTGTGGTAATGAAGGGACTTGCTCCAACACTTTCGGTTCCTATCTCTGCTCCTGCGCCGATGGCTTTGAAGGACTGAACTGTGAAAGGGATGTGAACGAGTGCACCCTTTCACCTTGCCTGAACTGGGGAACTTGTGTTAACACCCCGGGGTCGTACCACTGCAGTTGCTCCGAAGCGTACACGGGGGAGTTCTGTAATGAGGATGCCGATGAGTGCGAAAATGAGCCATGTTTGAACGGTGGGACCTGCACCAATACGATCGGATCCTATCGATGTGAATGCCCATCGTCTTCCACGGGGAAGAACTGTGAAGTAGACGTCAACGAATGCCTCAACAGCCCTTGCCAGAATGGTGGAAGCTGCGTAGATATTGTTGGCTCCTACTACTGCTCCTGTACGTCATACTACACTGGACAACACTGCGATGTCGACGTTCAAGAATGTGAAACAGACCCCTGTTTAAACGGAGGGACCTGTTCTAACACGGTTGGTTCTTACCATTGTCAGTGCATGCCGGGGTATGAAGGGCGCACTTGTGAGCTGGATAGGAACGAATGTGAAAACGACCCCTGCCGTAACGGTGGGAGTTGCACTAACACGGTGGGTTCGTATACATGCACTTGTCCACCATCTTACTTCGGTTATAACTGTGCCGATGACGTCGACGAATGCGATGCCGATCCTTGTTCCAACGGTGGTACATGCACCAACCTTGTCGGTTCTTATCGATGCGGGTGTACTGCTGCTTACACAGGGCAGCACTGTGAGGATGATGTTGACGAATGCCAAAGCCTCCCATGCAAGTTCGGAGGTACTTGCACAAATACCTTTGGCTCCTATGTCTGCCAATGCATCCCATCTTTCACAGGACAGGACTGTGAGGTTGACACTGATGAATGCACTACCGACCCCTGCCTCAATGGAGGCACTTGCTCTAACAGTTTTGGTTCCTACGCCTGTACCTGCACTTCATTTTACACGGGTCGGCACTGCGCGGAGGACGTCGATGAATGTGAAACCAACCCCTGTTTGAATGGAGGGACCTGTTCTAACAGTATTGGATCCTACCATTGCCAGTGCACCCAGCGATTTGGAGGACCAAACTGTGGTGCTGACGTCGATGAGTGTGAAATCAACCCCTGTATGAACGAAGGAACCTGTTCTAATTTCCATGGGACGTATCAATGTGAATGCAGGGGCCTGTTCGCTGGGCCACATTGCGAAGAAGGTAGTTATCTTTTTGTTCTTCCCAACTCTGATCATAGTGAAAAATAATGATCAGCGAAATTTCAAGAAAAATCGAGTTCATGAATTGTCATTATGTGTCTAAGCATTTTATTAAGGCGGCCATTGTTTTATAGAAAATAATTATATTGGTTCTATGGTTCACCTGAATATTATCTTAAATTTCAACCTCACAATTGTGACCCAGAGCAAAAAGTATCTTTATACAAAAGGATGCAGATTCTTTATTTAACCACAACGACATTTCAATTATTATCTGAGAGAATTTAATTAGATAGATAGATTTAAGTCGTATGCCATCCAGTCGCCCATGATATATTTTTTACCCAAAACTTTATATTACTTTGGAAATCTGTTTTGACAGATTTAATCTTTTTGACCGTCAGTCTCGTGAACCTTCCGACGAGTGGTTAGATTGTCCACGAGAATGAGACCGTTGTTTAAACCTTAGGATTAGAAGGGCTTTGATTCTTTAGAATAATATGAAGGTCCAGGATGAAACTTCCCATAATCCTTCGATCAAGTGAAGAGTCCCGGTCTGACCGGGTCTATTATTCAATGCTGCCGTTTTTGTTTATCCCACAGACGTGGACGAATGTCTAGGAAACCCCTGTCACAATGGAGGTACTTGTCGCAACAGTTACGGCGGATTCGTGTGTACTTGTCCAGATACCCTGACTGGTCCAACATGTGAAAACGGTCAGTACCAAACAAATTTATGTTTCAAAATGTCTATATCTGGTTCAAACCGACAAGACAAATGATCCATAATCCACCTTTTCCTTTCGTAACACAGAAACTTTACACCATTTTCAATGCAACTTCCTATCAACATGATTTAATGATACTCTATGTATCCTCATTTGTTGTGTGGACTACTTTATAATATCGATTTGTAAGCCTTTAATATGGTGAATAGTTTCATACCAATAGTCGAGACTATTTCACTTCCCACAATCTTCCTTAAAAAAGAAATGCTATTACAAAATAGTTAGAAGTAGAATTCACTTGATTAACATGTAAACGTTAATCAATTATTCTGAATCATTTTTGAAGGCCTTGATGTACTCTGTTGCCCAGAAATTTGGAATACGTTCTTGATGAAACGCTTTTGACAATATGATTTATTCTTGACAAACAAAGTTTAAAGCTTATCATAACTTTATTGAACACAGTGACTGCCCAATAAAGATAGATCAATAACGTTCTGAGAAAGTATCAACTTCATCTTTCAAGAATATTTCATAATGTCACAATCATTTCATGAAAAGGAGCAATAATTTTTTTTCCAGCCTATGGTCAACAATGTATATGAATCATTACTTGAACATGGTAAATATATAAATATGAATATAGAATACGTTCATTTGGTTGTATGATTCTGTATACGTTATGCAATCGAATGTATATCATATTTTATATTTCACATACAAAGAATCTTGCGATACGATTGGTCAAAAGTATATCACGTGATGAAAGATAGTTCGCCCACCATTGATTGAATAAGAAAAGTTCGTTGCACTGTGTAGATATTTTCTACTATCTACACAGTGCAACGAACTTGCACTGAAGATAGAATTATTTGCTTACTATCCGCCAGATCTTGACGAATGTGCACTTTACACCCCTTGTGAGAATGGCGCCACCTGCGTCAACGAAGAGGATGGGTACAGCTGCAGATGTGCCTCAGGATTCCAGGGACCCACCTGCTCACAAGGTACTCATAGAGATCAAAAGAAGTCTCACTGACTTACCCCCTACTTCATCCTTGATAATGATTCCCACGATGCACTTTAGGACCAAACTTAATATTGAAAGTATAGTTTGTTTGATATTGTATTCTCCGTCGCTGACAGGAGGAGGAGGAGGCAAGAAGAAGAAGAAGAAGAAGCAGAAGAAAAAAAGAAAAAACAAAAAAGAAAAAGAAGAAGAAGAAGAAGGAGAAGAAGAAGAAGAAGAAGAGGATGATGAAGAAGAAGAAGAAGAAGAAGAAGAAGAAGAAAAAGAAGAAGAAGAAGAAGAAAAAGAAGAAATAGAAGAAGAAGAACAAGAACAAGAACAAGAAGAAGAAGACGACGACGACGACGAAGAAGAAGACAAAAGCCAAATATGTGTCTCAGCCAATTTATAAAAATACATGTTTGTATCCAGAGAGAGAGAGAGAGGAGAAAAAACAAGATGGGTTATTTCGGGGAATCTGTGATCATGTTAACCGGACAGAAACTATCATTCTTTTAAATATATTTGCTTGTTTTTTTTTTCTCATGCTCTTTAGACATCGATGAGTGTGCCTTGACTAGTCCTTGCCTGAATAAAGCACGTTGTACCAATAACTTTGGTGGCTATACGTGTGCATGTGGGCAGAACTTCAGTGGTAAAAACTGCGGAATTGGTAAGAAAAATTTCAGTCATACCCTATTTGCACGAATGTGTGAACACCTTTTTGATGTGATCTACGAGGATATGTGCGATAGTTATAAGCTGACTGCATGCACAGGTCTTGTTAAACTTATTTCGCAAAGTTCGATACGATTTGATTTGATTTTAAAACAAATCTTATAGTTTTCTTTCAACACGGTGGTCCCATAAAAAATAAAACGCAGTTTTCCCTAGGGGCCCTGTATAAAAAAGAATACATTAAAATTCACTGATACATAAAGAACACAAATTATAATTCGTTCCTCGCTCTCTTGGGTATTCCTTTATCTCTCTATGTTGGTGTCTCCTTGTTTGTCATTCTACACCCCTCCTCATTTCGATCTCTCCTCTCTATTCAATCTCCGCCCTCTCCCTCCTAGATGTCAACGAGTGTACTGCGCTGCCGTGTTACAACAGAGGAACCTGTATTAATACATATGGTGGCTTTGCTTGTGTCTGCACCGAAACATATCAGGGACAACTCTGCAATGAGGGTGAGCATATTTCTCTCATTTTTATTTCAAAAGAAACATGTTAAACCTGAAGATCCGTTTGTGGCGGACAAGAGTATAATCCATATTATATATTATATTATTATTTCATGCTTACACCCTGCATGCCCAATCCGACTCGTTGTACATACTCTACAAGGAGTGTTGAGTCGTATTTCTTCAGAGTTCAGATTTAGATTCAGAGTTTTAAAACTATTAAACAAGTATATTTGGTTACTATTGATACGCTCAGCCGAATTAGGTAGACGTAGGCCCGCCCCCCCCCCCACTCAGAGGTCGGAATGACCGCATGCGTGTTGCCAAAATGTCCGGTAAAGGGGTACTTTTCGTGCGACAAAGTCCGGCCCGAGAATTGTAAAAAAAAGGGGTGTATTTGACTTTTCACCCGGAGATTTCTTTAAAAAGGGGGTGTTTTTCTTTTTTCTCTCATCTCTTTGGACTCCTGAGATATTATTCCGAATTTAGGGGGGTACATTGAGCATTTTTCCTGATTTAGGGGGGTCTCCAAGGCAGGAAAAGCACGCGAAAAGCCCGCGAAAGGGGGGTTCGGAAATGTTGGCAGTCCTCAGATAGGGGGTGCTTTCAAAAAAAGGGTACGAGCATATGCGTACCCTAAATAACACTGAGTGGGGGGGGGGGGGGGGCCGGGGACGTAGGGTTAAAGTGAAATTGGATCACGTCCAGTCCCCTTCCACTTCAGTCTAGCGACGTCCTTTTACATATCTTCCACATATAGCAATATTCTTCTACTTCTACTCCTTCTTCTTCTTATTATCATATTTTTGTATTGCTACGATTTAGACGTCAACGAATGCAACATCGCGGGTCGGTGTCAGCACGGAAGTACATGCGTCAACACGGAAGGCTGGTTCCGATGCGACTGCGCAGATGGGTATGAGGGACAAGTTTGTGAAATAAGTAAGAATAAATTGCCTTCTGCTTGCTCCCCTAGGCTATAATTCAATCATGTGCATGATTCGATATTTTCAAAAGATTACATTTCATCGGTTGCTACCCATGTAATTAGTAACTATGACATAGAAAATTTTATCAGAATCATGACAAGAACGTGAACAAGTATTTTGGGTTTGTAACTCATTATAATTGTGTGTATTTAAGCATCATTTTATTTACGAATGCTTTTAAATTTAGTTCCTCTTTTCTCGTGTCATCACTATTATATTTGTCTTGTTTCATTGTATATTTTTTGTCATATACTTATATTAAATTGCAAACAACATTGCACTTTCATTGTATTATGTTTTGCATGAGAAATAAATTCATTTGAATCTTGAAGAACAAAAAATAATAACTTTGTGCAAATCTTGCCGAAAAAAATTATCGTCATAATTCCGGTGAGCTTTTGTTTCAAATAATTTCAGTCACAAGTGCGTGCAACATACCTTTATATACAATTTATTTATTTCTCCAGCATACTATTCTACATGTTTGATTTAAATAGAATATCTGATGAAGTCGGTATGATAACTTAAACCGTTTGTAAACAGATATTGATGACTGCGCAGAATCGCCCTGCCAAAACGGAGGAACGTGCATCGATGGTGTTGAAAGTTTCACGTGTGTCTGTGCACGAGGCCACTATGGTGAAACATGTGACATGGGTAAGAATCTTTAGACGAGTAAAATTGACAATCCAGTTGAAAATTCTGTTTTTTTAATTTATATCTTGTCTTACTCGTTTTGTTTTTGAATATGTTCTCCGCCCGTCTACATGTGTTTTTTTTTTCGCCCCTGTCCGATGCAACAAAACACAATCAACCCCTTCCTTTCTCTCTTTCCTTTAAGACATATCTTTGATTTGACTTTAATTAAATATGTTTGTTGCAAATTTATCCTCTTTTTTAAAATAAAAAACAGCCTTAATTTTGTATCAAATTTGCTCAAACCGATAAAGAACGTATGTACCTTTCAAAAATAATAATAACAATGATAAGACAAAAATCTTCCTAATTTATAAAATTTCATTCATGCCTATTTAAAAGATCTATTTTCCTGTTTTTTTAGTTGTGAGGGAAAATATCCCGGATTGTGAAGAAGGCCGAGATTCCATCAGCCGTCTATACTGGAATAGAACAACTGCTGGTAAAACGGATGTAACGGCTTGTCCTCAGGGCACAACTGGTAAGTTTCTTAATAAACCCTATGTTGTAGTGTTTATGCCACAACTTGGCTTTCATTTAAGTTCATTAATGTTGTTTGCATGGTTTGGGCACGTGCATCAACTTCAATATACATGATAAATGTACAAAGGTGCCACGTTTTGAGGTTAAACATCGCTTTTCAACAATGCCAATTTATTCGCTAGTCCAAAATAGCGTCGACGGTATTCTTTTCGGGGATCGAATGTGATCATACATACTTATTACCGGGCTGTATTGGTTATTATGTAATAGCTAATATCGAACTGATTACATAGAACTGTATGAGCTTAAAATACACCAATTCGTCGCTGTTTTCACGAAGTGACGGTAGTGAAAAAAAATTGCATTCACTTTGCGTGACGATTTTCCTCACTACCGTCACTTCGTGAAAACAAGGACGAATTGTGGTGTCAATAATCGATATATATTAAGAGAAAATCATAACAACAAATCAGTGGAAGCCAGTAATACCTGCCAGGAAGTAGTTTATTGTGAATTCGTTACAAGTACGTTGTCCAACTTTCCCCCTTCAATTTAGGTATTGCAACCCGTCTGTGTTCCGCTCTGACTGATGTGACACCACCTTTGTCTGTATGGAAGATACCTGACCTTTCGCAATGTATCAATCCCAATTTCCAGAAGGTCACTGAAACGGTATGAAGGTTACATTTCTTTTGGTTCCACCTAGGTTAAATAAAAAAAAAAAAATTTGGACCCCCTATGAAGTCAATTTCGACTCCCCAATAGTCGGACAAATTGAGGTTCCGACACCCCTATATCCGACACTTCTAAAATGTTCCGATACCCTTATGTTACGACACCTGCTTTTTCGACCTCCTTTACATCCCAACACTCCTATGTTCCCAAATCCCATGTACTGACAATATTCCGACGTTCTGGTAGCTCCTTGTTCCGACAGTCCTATGTTCGATGCCCGTAAGTTCTGACACCCCTAAATTTCCGACACCCCTATGTTTCGACACTCCTATGTTCCCACATCCCTTTGTTTCGACATTCCTGTGTTCCGCCATTCCCATGTAGCAACACCCCTATGTTTCGACACCCTATGTTCCGATAATCCTATGTTCCGACACATTTTGTTCTGACAACATTATGTTCCGACACATATGTTCCGATACCCCTATGTTCCGACACTGTTATATTCCGACACCACTTATATTATCTTCTCAGTCAAATAGTTATCTCAATGTGGACGTGTAAAAAATTGTCAAAAAATTTAAGTTCTTCAGAAAACGGGTATAGCGAGAAAAAAAAATATAAGTATAACGTGTAGCCCATAAAATAAGTATAACGTGTAGCCCATTAAATATTTAGTATATAGTGGACCTGTCACTCCTTAATAATTTCCTGTGGTTCATTCTCAAGACACATAAAACCGTCATCGTAATTATAAAATACGAAGTAGAGACTGGGGCTGAAGTGTACCAAGACTTTTAAAGTGTCATATAAATCTTTGCTATATAGCTGGACATGCTGGAACAAAGCCCCAACATCACGGTTCACGATGTCATTGACCTCGCCGCTCTTCTTTCCAACCTGACATCGTCGACGTCGACCGAGGTCAGCGAGCTCCACATCGTACCGCAAGACATCACGATCACCACCCAGGCACTAAGTAGAGTAGCAGACCTCTCGGCGATGATCAGCAAGAACCTGACTGATAAGGATATTGATGATCTGACAAATGTAAGACAGTAGTGACTGTTTGTTAAAGACAGGGTTTTGCCAAAGTCCCAACATTATTTTGCTTGTTCCTCATTATGATATCGTGAAAAATTTCACATCGCGCCCATACTTTCGAAAGAAAAAGATGAAGCTATTTTTACTTCAATATAATTCAAGTCTTGTCTACTCGTCTGCCAAACACCTTTGCACCCCACCCAGATATCTTAACCCCAGAAAAAGGGTCCAACTCCAAAGATAGATCCTTGGTACTTTGCTATATGGATGCAGAAAAACAATTACGAACAACAATATGAATATTACAATTACTAAGATTAGTAGTAACGCGTAATGTTTAAATATCAGTTACTTGATGATAAAACAGTAAAAGTCTGAACTATTAAAAGAAGTTTTTTAAAAGTTTTTTTTTTAACCACAAAACATCAGCTGACTGCAGAAAGGACACTACCATCATGTATCGTCAATGTCTTTAATGTTCTTTAAGCAATAAGATGATGAAAATACACGTGCATACACTCCTTTATCATGATTACCCAAGGCCTTTGTTGATACCGTGGACAATATCCTGGATGACGCCAACCTGGGTGCATGGAAGACCTCGGACGATGCCGACATCGTGACCCAACAGCTGACGTCAGTGGTTGCGTCATCCGAGAACATGGCCCTCAGCATGGCGAGGGCGAGACGTCGACTGGATCAGAAAACCGACTCGACAACGACCTCAACCAACCAGAGTATATCGTTCAACAAGACCAATATAGGTAACTGGTGTGTATGGGGGAGTGTGGGTGTGGGAGGGGTGTGTGGATGAACCCATCTCCCGAATCGTGACTATTAGTTCAACTTAGTGTTCTACATTTATTTACTATTTAAAAACAGAACAATCTATGATAAATTTTGGTTAAAACAAGAGTGGCAACATTAGCTCTTCACGTCTCCATTTATATAGCAATAGAGCAAAATATTTTGTTGCTGAAAAGAACCCGTTCCTCTTTATAAAGAGAGAGACAGAAATTTACAGCGTGTTCTCTCAAAATAAAGATAGCCGACCTTGTTTATTTGTGGCAATGACTATGAAGTATTTGGGATTATTGTAATCATGATAATGACAAGATACCAGGTAGATCGTTTGTTACCTGGGAAAGCACAAAAACACTTAACTGTTTATAATAGAAGTTTGAAAATCTTGAGGACGTTTATCTCTTTACGTTTTCTCTCTCTCCATTGTCTTTGCTAACAGAATTCGATGTCGTCTTCGTAGCGGACTCTGAGAGCGATGATAGCGAGACGATGACGTTCGTTCGATCAGGCGGTAGTCTGTCTCTCCCACGGGAGGTCCTCAACATAGCCAATCAGCAAAGCTCTGGTAAGTCACGTGGTCTAGTGGGTTGTTTCTTCGGGAGATTCCGAGTGCCGCACAAAACAAGACGAAGCAGCAATCGTGCATTTCTGTGACGTGCTGGTCTTTTTCTCTACGCCCGTATGTCCAACACTTTGTACATTAAACCCTTCATGATGTTTAAGTGGTGTATCCATAATATTTCTCGAGGTAACGCGATTCTTACTGCTTATCTCTGCGTTTCTCACTTTGTTGAAGGGTTATTTGTTCTGCACCTCCATACGGCAGGGGTATATGTAATGTAGACTGTAAACAAAAATTGATACAAAGAAAATAGGATTAAGAAGACAAACAGGTATTTTGTTTTCTTTTCAGATCGTAATTTACTGAAAGAACTGATTTCGTTAATCAAAATTTCATTGCATTCGAATTTGATTACAGTTTGATGAAAACAATTAAATTGTGGGGTTATTCTACAAACATTTCGCTTCTGTTCAACAGATCAGTTAGCTATCTACAGAGCCAGGTACCCATCGCTTGCATCCTTATATTCTGCCTTAGAAGAGGAAAGCATTTCGAGGTAAGAACGCCCCCACATTTTCGTTTTGGTTTCTTGGATACACGAGAAAGAACTTTACATTTTAGTGGAGTTTACATTTTGGTGAATGTAATAAGGCGCATAATACGAATGTCTCATAGTTTCTTGATCTAAAAGTAGAAGCTCTTTTAGTTGTTCAGTCAAGTTATCAAGAATAAGTTAAATTATAACTTTTTCACATGTAATTGATGAGAATTCCATTCAGAGATGACAATATTTTTTTCTTCTCATCCATTTCCGTCATATTTCACGGCCGACTGGGAAGAGGGGCTAATTCTATTACTCAGATAATGTTAATGGCGTAACATTACTGTTCATTCTTTATCTTTCATATCCATGTAATTGTTTTCATGAATCCCTTAGCCACTGGCTCATGTACTGTGTCGTAAAATGGTGGGGAGAAATTTTCAGACCTTAAATCTGTAGACTTATCCTTTTTTTTTTTTAAATCTACGTTTTAGGATCAATACTGATGTCATGGCAACCAAGATCCTTGGTATAGACGAGGCTTTCTTCAAGGATCTAATCGAACCTGTTGTAGGAATTTACAAGCACCAAGAGGTAAAATTCGTTTTTATCTTTTAATTCAATGAAAAGGTAGTTAAACACTTTTAAAGCCCATCTGCACTAGTTTGGCCAGGAGGGATTAGACCTCCCTGGATGGTCACTGACAGGTGGTTATCTCTTCAAATCAGCTCTCAATTAATATAAGAAAAGAGGACCACGGGGGACCAACGGTCACCGATTAGGTATTGTTTGCTATATAGAGGGCGTAAATAGTTAATGGGTACCTTGAAGGAGTGCGTTAAGGGCCATAATATTGATAACAAACTAATAACATGGAAATCAATAGTTTGTAATGAGAGCTATGTGCTGTTCGTACTATATAATATTTCATATTTTTATATATAAAATATATGATGCGTACTACGAAATTGTTTCAGCTGAAATAAGGTACACTTCAAACCACTGCACCAAATGATGAATTTTACATTATTCGATTGTGATTTTGTAATTACTTGAGTTTCCTCTTTTCCCAGCTTGGCGCCAATTTGAACCCGAGTTGTGTGTTCCTAGATCTCGATCAAACGTAAGTATTGCAGGCAGTGTTCCCTCATTTCCACATCCTCTCCTTTTTGTAATTAAAAGAACTGCGTGTTGAACTTTTTTCTTCACACAACTCACGTCTCGTCTTGTAATTATTTTGAAAATAGAGGAATGATTATTCATCTCTGTCTTTGTTATAACAATTAACAAAGAGGGTCAGGGCCCTGTTTCATAAAACCTGTCATCAATATTAAACAAGAGCTAACTTTCTATGACAAATTTGCTCTCAGCCAATCGGATGCCACGACTTCAGTAGCTTATAACAGTTATTGTAACGTGTTATTCATAACGAAGTTTATGATACAGGGCTCAGATCTGCATTGGTCTTTCGGATGTGCATATAGACGTTTAATCATAATATTATAATTTTACGAACGTTTTATCATAATGTGATAATTCTGCGATATACAATTACAGATTATTCTTCAGGCGAGTACTATATGTGTTGCTTCGTTGATTGTATTCTAGTTGCCATGAAACACCAGGGGCACACTTCTGGAAGACGTACTTTCCCTGCCAGTTCGGGATGTCAAGGCTCAGTCTTATAAACAGTTGCGATTCATCACAACTTCTTTGCGATTGAAATCAATCGCAAGTATGTACATACGAGATAGAAGACTGTAAACTTGCGATAGATTATAGGACTGCGATTGATTGGGATAAATCGAAACTCTTTATAAGACGGGGCGCAGAAATCATCAACATTCGTAACCGTAATTATAATCACGTTTGTATATTGGTGTTGATAGAAGGTTTTCGGTATTCGTTTTGTCATATATATTTTGTCAACATTTCTATAAAATGAAATTCACAAATACTTATTAATGCATTTGATGTTTCTAAATGATTTATTTGATATAGTTCTGGAGAAGAGTCGGAATCGTGGAAGGCGACTGGATGCGAAGTCTACGCCAGCAATGAAACCCATACGACCTGTCACTGTTACCATCTCACCAACTTTGCAGTCATCATGGATGTCCACGGTGTTCAGGTAATACTTCAGTCATGTTAAACTTTCCGCTGTCTTCTTTAATAATTAAAAAAAGAACATCACATATTTATGATTTCATATCTAATGCATGGTATTAAAATGTGTTGCCGTGAAAATCCTCTTATAAGAGTTCTAAGAATGGCAGTGCTAATAATGCAGAATAAAGTGATGCTACACCGCCCCCTGTTCCAGTGATGTGACGAAAATCGGTTGAAAAAAAAATCAGTAAACTGGTAAAAAAAAAAAGAAAGAGCGAAATTTTTTGTTGTTTAAAGTTCCCGTAATGGCCATTCTTCTTACGTCGAAAAAAAAACACCTAAGTCACAATATTTACTTATAGAACAACTGTATACATGAATTTCTATTTTTCTCTTGAATGTGTTTGTTGCTTTGCCCATTGCAGAGTAGCCTATCAAACGGCCATGAGACAGCCCTGTCTATCATATCTCAGATCGGTGGTTCCGTGTCCATCGTAGGGTGTGTGACTTCCGTTGCAGTATACGAGTTCTTCCGGTAGGTGAAATTTATAGTTGAGGAGGTCATATGGTTCTACCCTATTCCCCATTTTCAAGTCGTGGGAAGAAAAAATAAATCATCTTTGGAAGTGCCATTGCCAAAATTATGAGGATGAACCTGATCAGTATGTTTTTGATAAATATTGAGTTAGACATGTTAGAAAGTGATAAATTGTCGTGAGCTTTTTCATTGTCAATGGTATCTGAATGGTGTCACATAAAAGTGTTGATACATATGATTGTAGTAGAAGAAATGTGGTGGCAGGGGGTTACCTACTAATATTAAAATCTGGAAGAACGAAAAAACAAATCAAAATTCATAAATCAAATTTCGTGACGGATATACGAAATGCCAAAAGTTAATAACTCATCATGCTCTGATATCATATGCCATAGGTGAAAAAAGGGTTGTAGGTATCATTCATTTTGATTTCAGTAATGTTTTTTTCATGTGGTCATTACAGATTGAAGTCGGACAGGATACGTGTTCACGAGAATCTAGGAGTGGCCATTGCAATCTCACAGCTTATATTCCTGGTGGGGATGGAGCGAACAGATATCGTGGTAAGCAGTCAGGGTCAATAGGATTTTTTTTTTTTAATTTAAAATAAAGCTCAACGACATAACATATTTACAATAATTTAATATCAATAAAGTAAATGGATGTATACACTATTAGGACAGTATAGAGTTTTGTCACTATTATTATACAATTTACGCGCTGCCGATCGATGAGAAGGGAGTGCAATAACAAACAGTAAAACATGTTTTGTTTTGGCTTGATTTGATTTGGTTTATTTTGCGTTCCATGTACAATTTTTGGTAACAAAACAAAAATAACATACTAAAAAGTACTTTATGACAATTTATCATATATAAGCAAATATACATAACAACTATTATAGTAAGCAATAAAAGATAGATTGCCAAATTATCATATTTCATAAAAAACTCAACCATTATTGGTAGCAAATTGCTTGAAAATATGAAGAAAAATGTTTTTTTCCCCCACTACATTAAATAACAAGGCGCAAGAGCATTAGCGCCGGAAAAAATAGGTTAGATGGGGGGGGGGGGGGGGGGCGGGGCCGAAACAGCTTTGCCTCCCCCATCATAGTATAAGATCAAATAGAAAATGAAGAAGAGTTAAACAAAATAATGTAATTACTCTTTCATTAACTTAATCGTTCCTCCCCCAGTGGTTATGCAAAGCGGTTGCTATCGCTTTCCACTACGCCATCACTGCCATGTTCTGCTGGATGTTGTTAGAGGGCGTACATCTCTATGTCATGCTGGTCAAGGTGTTCGGTACAGGCAGGATGGTCAAGAAATACTTGCTAGCTGGTTGGGGTAAGTAGGAAGCAAAAAAAAAAAACCTTCTTAAAGCCCCACTGCACTATTTTGGCCAGGGGATTAGACCTCCCTGCATGGTCACTGGCAGGTGGTTATCTCATCAAATCAGCTCTCAATGAACATAAGAAAAAGGGGGCCATGGGGGACCAACGGTCACCGATTAGGCATCGTTTGCTATACAGAGGGCGCAGGTAGCTATACGAAGTGCAGTCGGGCTTTAAGATATTCAGAAGGGAGTGGATGGCATAGGGTTCTTGCAAGTTGCTTTTCATTGGTATTTACCACGCCCACCCCCCCCCCCCCCTCCCTCCCCCACGAATACGATTGGGAATGTCGCAAACCGTTTAACACACCATAAGCCAGAACAATATGTGGTTCCAGGGCCCTGTTTCATCAAACTTGTTATCAATAACAAGTTACAAGCTACTGTTACAGGCTACTGAAATCATGGCATCTGATTGGCTGGGAGCAAATTTGTCATAGAAATGTAGTAGTTGTTATAGATAACAAGTTTTTTTTAAACAGGTCCCTGATTGTAACAAATTTAAGCCCCAGAAAACTGTTTTAGCAGTTCATTTCCCCCCTCAAGGAAAGCGCGTTGCGGCAGGTTTGCTCCCATTTTTCCCGGATAAAACTATACGTACCCTTCGATGAAATGACGTATACAAATACTGATAAAGCATTGCTACATGTCACGGGAATCCCCAAGTCCCCCCAAGTCCCCCACCCCATCCACTACCAATTTCTTCGAGGTGTTTAAACATCGCAAGGGGCTTTCTATGCCTCCACTGTGTAATCAATATGAAAATGCATGTAAAAAACATTGTTTCATTTTTTTTTAAATTGAGAGAAAAAAGATATTGTTCTTCTTTATAATGTTTTGGATGATAGAAAAAAAGTACGATTTTTTTTTGACTTGTAACTGATTTAACTTCTGAATGATATAATTTGTATTGACTTTGTTTTAATGTGTACTACTTCTTTTTGGAGAAATAAAACATTTTATTAGAAAGTTAAAAAATATACAGCCTTCTTGATATTACAATGTACTTTTATATATTTATATAGTAGCCGTTAGTCAAGGTATAGCTTTTACAATGCTGTTTTATGTTGTTTTCATTTCTTAATTTTAATCCAATTGAATAATTAATTTTCTCTTTTTTAAATAGGAATTCCCTTGATAGTTGCCGGAGTTTCAGCTGGTATCTTCTATAAAGAATACGCATTAGGCAACGTGTAAGAAATTTATATGTGTCAAGATTTTTTTCCTCAATATCTAACATTCTAAGTATGGCAATTACAATAGACTTGGGCCCCGTCTCACAAAGAGTATTTGATCGCAACTTATTTGCGATTGATAACAGTCGCAACTATATACATAAGAGATAAGAGACTGCAAACTTGCGATTGATTGTAATCAATCGCAACTTTTTATAAGATGGGGCCCTTATCTTTCCTATTTCTTTGCTCAACGCTCACTTATACAATTGTTATCGATTTCGTTGGAAGAAAGGCATATCACATGTATTTTTAGAGTATTTTGAGGCTATGAGCCCCTCCCCCGCCCTCTCTCTTGCAGAGTATGATACAGAACCACTTACATTTTGTTAAATTTTGTTCACAACAAGAACGAATGGTTATCTCTAACAGTTTCTTTATGATATGCACATTGAAGAGTGGTGGATTAATTTCTTCAACCGTAAACTAGATTTTTAAATCTTACCATTCTACATGGAGCACTTATCACGAAATCTGTATGCCTTTATAATGATGGGGGTATTGATGTTACACACAATATCTTGCTGGTATAATGTATATCACGTTATCTGTGTTAACCAACCGGCCACGAGTTGAAAGTTAGACCTTATTTATACTTCTCAAACAATTCTCGGTGATCAATCAATTGATCAGACAACTGGATAACGTTCTCATGTATTCTTTCACTTGCTCTAGGTGCTGGATGTCGACCAGAGCTATGCTCATCTCCTTCATACCAACGGTGGCTATCGTGATTGTAGTGAGTATTGAACCTCTAACCTACATCAAGTCACATTGAATAATGTCGACCAACCAACACGGCTTATGATTATAATAATTTAAGGGAAGAAAAAGTGACACATGTCTGGTTTCAAAATGCTGCACAAGTCAGATGATAGTGAGCATTTTTTTTTTTTTTTTTTTTTTTTTTGGGGGGGGGGGGAAGCTCTCGAAATTTTGAAAAATCGCAACCCCCCCCCTTGAGCGCCAGGGGATGGGGCCAATCTCCAGAAAAAGGTAAAAATTAACGTGTTTTTACCTGTTTTTTTACCCTGGATCCACCACTGTGTATTCGTACCACGTTAGGATTTAAAAGAATAGAACTATACAAGAGTTGGGAAGAAAAATGGCAAAATTACAATAAAACAAACGTAAGACCTTTCAAACCAACAATTCAACATAACTTTGAGAGCACCCTGTTTAGAGACTGCGAAGTCATAATTCGCAGGCTCAGACTTTGCAACATAGGACTAAACGCAGACCCCTCAAAAGTATGGGTATCCCAAACAACCCAACCTGGCCAAGCCAACAAAAATTGTAAATACTGTAACACCCCTGAAACAATAACACACTATCTGATCGAATGTCCAAAATATACAATAGAAAGAGCAATGCTGATAATGGAAAGTGATATAACGAGCCCAAACGAAATAATGAAACTCCTAAAATCAACAGAAAGTGCGACCCAGAGAGCACTGATCCGCTTTGTTCGTAGAACGAGGCGTTTTGAGTGTTCCTAATATATATATATATATATATATATATATATATATATATATTTTTATTATTATTATTTATTTTTTGTTTTTGTTTTGTTTTGCACATATCGCACGACAACCATATGCCCTAAGATGTTGATACCTACTTTGATAGAAAAATAAGGTTTTACAAAATGGAAAAATACTAGAAGAGAAAAGGTAAGAAAGAGTAAAGACGGATTGAGGACGGTAAACCCCAAACAAGAGACTCTGGAGATCTACCCCAGAATCCTCTCTCCGGCACCAGAGTTGCCTAGGCCAATGATGGCCGAGAAGATTGCGCAATGTACCGCGCCGGTCTGGCAGGAAGGTGCCAATTGCGGTGAGGGGTTTTCATGGACCAGTAGATCTGAGATTATATTATCCCCCAAAGAAGAGAAGATTATGAATTTACAAATAGTACCAACAAATAGAAGAAAAAAAAATAAAGTGAAAGGCGTAAATATTCTTAAAAAGTATGAAACGCCGATAATACCAAACAACAACAACAACTGTATTGTATTACATTCCTTATCTTTTTGCAGGTGAACACGGCTTTCTTGATAATGGTCCTGCATGTCATGATGAGATCCATGTCAGCCAAGTACAAGAGCAGAGTCTCCAGCAACACATCACAAGTCAAGTAAGTTCACAACAAGCGACTCAGTCGCGTAGCTTCCGGTGAGGGTCAGATTGGGGGGGGGGGGGGCACGGTACAATGTACCGCCCTTATCGATTGGAAAGAAAGGCGGTTCAGAATTCTCTTTTAAAACAATATTAATTTGGTCTTTCTTATTAAGGGTTAGCTACATCAATATTGATACTCTTCTTCCCGCAGGCCCTGCAGTTAATAATGAAGATAAATTTCCATAGCGCATAATTATGGGATATATTATACCTTATAACCTAGAAAAGCAAAAATCCTCTCTCTTAGGAGGTGCACTTTGGAGCGACAGAGAAACTTTAAGAAGCAAGGAAAGAAAAGCCAGATATATGTAGGAATCAGAAAATGGAGAGTTTAACAGAAAATATTATGGAAAATATTATTGGCTCATTGAACAAGATTCAGTAAAGATATCTTGTATAAGAAGAAAAAGAACAGAAGATGAAAATGTGACGAAGGATTGGAATGAAGTGCTTGTCATTTTTGTCTGTCAAGGGCTGGATTGAAGGCGGCCGCCATCTTGTTGCCTCTGCTTGGTCTCACCTGGGTGTTCGGTTTCCTCTCGGTGAACGCTCGGACACTTGTCTTCACCTACATGTTCGCCATCCTTAACTCATTCCAGGTGAGCTTATGAACAATCATAATGGCGTATACATATCAAAGGGCGTAGCCCTGCTTGCATGCCCCCCCCCCCGAACAAATACCACAAAAATGTTCATTTTCACCTACAATGTTTCCGATCCTCAACTTATTTCATGTGTGCTGTTCAGCAAGTCATTCAGGTCATTACCCATTGGCGTATCAACCAAAAGGCGTAGCCGGCGCATGCCCCTTCCATTTGCATGTTCACTTCCCAAAATAAAATACAAAACAATAACTAACTTGTTTTCACCTATTATTTGTTCGCCATCGTCAACTCGTCAACGTCAGTTATTCTGTCACCGTCGCAATTCACCAGTTGTGTATCCACGGTAATTTTAAAGCGCGTAGCCGGTGTACGCCGCCCCCATTTCAGCCCTCCAACAAACATACCTTAACACTCAGCTCTGAGGACTCTTTCCACCTTTATTTATCGTATGTCTGCTTGTTCTATCCTTAATCCACGACAGTTTCATTGTCCAACATTATTATAGTTATTTCATTTTTTTGAATACTCTCTAGCAACAGGTGTTTATTCTTTGACAACTCAAATTAAATATTTTCTCAAATTTGGGTTGAGCTCTTCAGCCCACGCGGTATTTCATGTATATTTTGTATCTGAATTTACATGAAAATAAACGAAATTACAAAGTAAATGATACCAGCTCACCTCCAGAAAATCTTTCAAACTAACCCAACATTTTCATATTTTGATTTTCGATTCACAGGGACTGTTCTTCTTCATCGCCCATTGTGTCCTTAACATGGAGGTAAGTAAAACCACAGACTTTGCGATCTTCTTGCGACCCGATTTTCGAAGAAATTACAACAATATTAGCTATATAAATCTAAGCAAAGAAGTAGTAGTAGTAGTAGTAGTAGTAGTAGTAGTAGAATGGTTTTTATTAGACAACTTCAAAATGGTAGCCCGAAAGCTAAATTACGTTGCAAGTTTTACAAGTGTTAAAAAGCATTTCAACAAAACTTAGATATAGACAAGTACACATACTACACAGTCGGGTGGTTCTTAACTTATTACTTATTCCCTACTTGCAAACAAATTGATGAAACAAATAGAATAGATTCGGCATTATTATTATTTCTGTAATCATTGTTAAGTGAGGAATATTCATATTTTAAAAAGAAAAACTTTAACCCCCTTTATTTCTGATTGACAATATTCCCTCAAGAAAATTGTCCATCATACCGGCACCCTTAATATGATTATTTATCATATGTTTCTATAAAACCCCTCTACGGAAGAATTATATTCTGTCTTCAATAACGAAGAAAATTTAAGTTGATGAAATGTTATGTACAGGGCAAGTTGAAGAGGAGCTCGCAAGGTACGTCACAGTGTTGCCGATGTATGTTTGACTTTTTTCTTCAGATATTATTTCTATAAGTATTAAAGTTCCAGTATAATTTTACTTAATTTGAACCTCCACAAATATTGCAATCGTTTTTTTTTTTAAATACGTGCTGTGGCAATTTCATGGTTGGAGGCATTACCATTTCCATTCCTATTGAAAACTATCTGGAAAACCTTTTGCCAAATGTAAGACTTAAAAGGCACCTGGAAAACTTTTAACTTCGTTTCCGGCCTATCTGAAGCTATTTTCGAGAAGAAAAAAGCTGCCTCCTGCAAATCTCTTATTCGGTAATTTTTTCGGGGTCGTGCCCCCATTTTTTACAAAATGCTGGATGCACCACCAATACGTGTTTGAAAAGAAAAAAGGTTCAAACATCTTTGAAAATCATTTACATTAAGTGTGTGTGCGTGGGTGTGTTTGTGTGTATTTTCAGGTAAGGAAGGCATACGAGCGTCGATACGGCAAGACCAGGGGAGTCGTCAGCTCTACGGTTTTCTCGTCCGTCTCCAACACGGCTAGCGGCAAAGGCGGCAGCAGTAAGGCATCGGGCAAGTCGAGGTCGATCTCCGGATCATCATCGAAGAACAAGAGCAACGACACGGTTGCCCTTTGCAGGAAAGGCAGTGATATCTCGAACGGCATGGTAATAATAGCGATGGTATATGGTTAAATTCATTTTAAAGAGAAAGTTCACCCCGATTTTCAATTGGTTTTTTAACAGAATTTTCTGTTAGAAGTTACAAGTTAGACGAAAATGTCAGTGAAAGTTCGAGCAAATTCCGTTTAAAAGTAAGAAATTTATGAATTTTGAATTTGCGATCAATCAAAATTGATTAAAAATTGATTGAAAATTGATTGAAAATGTTTCCTCAAGAAAATTGTCCATCTTACCCGTACCCTTAATATGATTATCGCTCATATGTTTCTATAAAACCCCTGTATGGAAGATATGTATTCCGTCTTAAATAATGAATAAAATTAAAGTTGATGGAATCTATGTACAGAGCAAATTGGAGAGGAGCTTGCAAGACAAGCCTCGTGTTCCCAATTTGTGTTTAATTTAGCGGAACTTCAAAAATTCATAACTTGCTCATTTTTAATTGGAATTTCCTCAATCGTTCACTGATATGTTCCTCTCAGGTTTCGGCTCCTATTAAAACCAACTTAATATCAGGGTGTACTGTACTTCCCCTTTAACAGCCTAAAAAGTACTTTTACCCTGGTTTTAGCCAGACTGCCGTTAGTACGTGAAAGCATTCAATGAAATTCACCCTATCATCATGATCATTTATCCATTTACTACATCTCCGTTGGGATTTGAAAGGTAGATTAATGTCTCGTCAAAGGGCGTTAGCGCCGCCAATCATTTTAATCCACAGATTTGCATCGTATACACTTGAGCAGATATTTTTACGACTTTTCAGATGTCTGCATTAGGATAATTAATTGGATTTTCTTGAAATTAATATAGTTGAGCCACTGTGCTCTAGGAAGATTCTAAAAGCAATTAGCCACGAGAGGAATGATTGTTAAACAGCAAGTCATCTGCAATCTTCAATTCCCTAATCAATTTTGAAAAAGCGTCCCCCACAATCAATTCAAAAGGTAAATGATAGCAAGGTTTTATGCAGGGCTAACACCGGTGTTCTTTGAAAACACCGTTCATCAACTATTCCGGGTTCTAATCTCAGCCATGGTTTCACGTTCTTGACCCAGGGGTAGAAAATGGGTCTCTGAATGGAGGTATTGCGATCAAAGATAGAGGGTCTTATGGCAGCTTAGAAGGAACAGGGGGGATGTTGACGATATTTTAATATTATTCATTGCATTATTTTAAACACCTTTTTACTTTCAAAGTTATATGTTCATTCCACAATAAGTAGTGGTCAATAACTAATTCAAGGCATTTTTATACTATTGTATTGTTCAATGTATATACCATCTTCGAAATGAACAGATAATTTTTCTCTTACTGTTTTTCCAAATATTTATATCATATATTTTCTATTTTTATGATGACAGGATTGTCATGACAACCCTTTGAAGACTTCAAGTGTTGATGAAACCAATAATCTCAACAACGGATCAAACACCAATCAAGATTCGATCAAGAAGAAACTAAGCGTACGTGCTATGTAATAAATTATAGAATAAACAAATATTCATGTATTTGTACTTCTCTAAGTTTTAAGTCAACTGATCATTGTTTAAAGATCTGAAAAGGAATTTCACTTGTTTCTTATTGCTTTAAACAAATACGTAAATAAATCATAGACAAATGATAGATATATATATTTTTCTAATATGAATATTTCGCAACATAGTTGCTTTTCTCTTTTTTTAATAAAATTTTTGCATCATAATGCAAAGTAAGTCTTTGAATGTCTTCACACAATTGTGTTCTGAAGGATGGTCGAGGACAAAATATATTATGTCATTTGTTTGGATGTGAGTTAGGTATGCTGAGAATAATAGCGTATAGATCTGACACCATGTCGAATGTGTAACGACATAAAGAAATCTTATAGGCCAAATGGGTACTTCAAACCGCTGTCACCTCTTGTTATCATTATTTTTTATCAAGTTGACGCAAATAATTTGGGTGAATAAACGTGTTGGTACACATCGTTTGGTCCATGAAATTGAATGAGGATTTTAACATTTCTATATTTTCTTATTCCAATAGCCCGATGGACCCCTCCAGCACAACGAAATACAGTGCCTCGTGAAGGACAGGTAAACACTTTTGAAAATGTATTATTTTAATTATGTTATTAATTAATTATCCGCCTTGTAATCAGCTTCCAATTAAATTCTAAAACTTTCCTAGTGGCATTATTTAACAAAATTCTGACCATCAATAATCTTTCCTTCTAAAAAGTTCCTCCATTCACATCGCCCTTAAAGTGTACTCTCTCTCTCATACATTCATTCATCATGAAATTATTAATTAGCACTCATTGATCACTTTATTGCTGCTATTTGTAACTCTTTACGCTGTACTCCCTTTTTGTTACATTTGTTTACATTGCATGATTCCAGTTGGAATACACAAATTGAAAATTGAACCAGTTCTCTGTTTCGTCAAGATGTCACGTATGTCACAATTTTGTTCCCCTTATTGTACAAATTATTCATTTCCATTACAATTTCTCAAATGCAGCTTTTAATCTACGTTGTCCATCTTTTATTCACTTACATGTTCTTTTTAATTATTATTTTTTTTTATATATAGTGAGAAGAACGTCAACCAGGAGAGCCAAAATAGCGAACTGTCGAAAGAAGCAAAAGTGGCCATGGAGAATATGATTTCAAAATCTAACGTCGCTTCGAACAACGAGAATATCGCTTAAGAGCAAAGAATATTTTGAAGTTTATAGTGCAACGAAAGTACTCACAGTTTAATTGGTAATTTTGTTTTGAGTTCGATGTTTGATGGTGAAAGTTCTCAACAAGTAATTACATTTATATAAGTAGACTCACGTTATGAACTTGTATTGTGTTGCACGATTCCAATTCTGTATTTCGAAATCTAACGTCGTTTCGAACAATGAGAATATCGGTTAAGAGCAAAGAATATTTTTGAAGTTTAAAGTGCGAGGAAAGTACACTCATTTAATTGCTAATTATATTTGAAGTTCGTTGTTTGAAGTTGAAAGTTCAAAGAAAGTAATTCTAGTTCAATAGTAGCTCACAGTGTCTTTCACAGACTCACGTTATGAACTTGTATTGTGTTGCACAATTCCATTCTGTAACCTTAAGCAGCACTACCCCCATCAGCGTCTGAATGGAGTACAGGCATGATGGCTATGCTTGTATCATTTTGTAGACCTAAGTAAATAGTAAAAGAAGTTGAAATGCACCTTTACCTACCCGTCTTCAGAACGGCTATTTCTGGAACAATGTTTGTATTAAATGTATATATTGCTATTTCGACCTTCGTGTAAGTAATGTGTCTACTGATATTTCATTTAGAAATAAAATTGAACCAAAAATCATTACAAATTTCTTCAAATTTGATAAAATATTGATTATACTATACCTATGTAACAAAAGCGTACCGCACGCCTACAGGCATGACGAGTTTCACCTAAATTAAATTCGGTTGAAATTCGATAGCGAACATGTCAAATTCTATTTTTGTAGTTTTATCTAATAACCGTTAGATGATTTTATTGATATGTAGCCACATCATGGAACAGTTTGACGATCAATTTGATGATTGAATACTTGAAAAGAGAAATGCATGAAAACAGTGGCGTGCCATAACAAAAAATTGCTTACGGCGCAGCTACAGCCAAGCCAACCTATGTTAGGGTAAAAGTGTACATATAGTTTTGTTGTGAGAAATACCAGTTTCCAGTTTTAGAAAAGCATTCACTTTGCGCTTAATTTGTTTGCATCGATTTTAGCAGCAAATCATAGCTATGTCCCTATCTATTCCGTCCATGAATACTTGTACAGAGATATGACATGTGAATGATTATTTACGATATATATTTGAAAATGCATGGGTCAAAATGTTAACTAAAGATTTGTATATTTTTGTAGATGTGACAGTGATGTACGTAATATGTAGAATATGATACCGAGTTCGTTTAAAGCCCCACTGCACTACTTATAGCTACTTGCGCCCTCCATATAGCAAACAATGCCTAATGGTGACCGTTGATTCACAATGGTCCCCTTTTTCTTATGTTAACTGAGAGCTGATTTGATGATAACTGTGATAACCATGCAGGGAGGTCTTATCCCTCCTGGCCAAACGAGTGCAGATAGGAATGAACCATCAGCTTCACTTCCTGTGTAAACTCAAGTGACTTAATAATAACATTTGTTGCAGAGAAAGGAAAACATTTGATTAGTTTAAAGGCACACTGTCCTACTTGTAGCTACTTGCTCCCTCTATATAGAAAACTTCCCCAATCGGTGCCTGTTGGTCCCCCATGATCCTCTTTTTCTTATGTTAAATGAGAGCTGAGTTAATGAGATAGCCACCTGTCACAGTGACCTCGCTGGCTCGCTTGGTGGTCTAATCCCTTTTGGCTGAAGTAGTAAAGCGCCTGCCTTTAAGATCTTTAAACATAGATGCTTTCGTCTCCTTTGTCAAGGATATTTAGGCACATTTCGATTATTCAAATTGGAGGTGCAAAGAAAACACCGATAATTATGATACTGAGTTCGTTTAATCCTCAATTTCACTTCCCGTGTATACTCGGCTGATTTAATAACAATATTTGTTACAGAGAAAGGAAAACATTTGATTAGTTTAAGATCTTTAAACATAGAAACATAAATGCTTTGTGCTCCACTGTTCAAGGATATTTAGGCACATTTCGATTATTCGAATTGGAGGTGCAAAGAAAACACCGATGTGTTTATCGTTCGTCTGCTGCCCGCATGCTCCAAAAATAGACGTCTGGGTTCTCGCAAGACAAACAAAATCGACCAAGGTCCGCATCCTCGAACCACTCTGTAAACACTGACTCCAATTCAAATCTCGGTAGGAAAATAGATAGGGTATCTTGCTTAGGTAAAGAATGGGGGAAGGATGGAGGAAAGAGGGGGGGGGGGGGGAGTGATAAGGGGGGAAGTTGTATAAAGTATCACGAGTAATGTACTTTATTTTCTGTGTTATATTTCAAAGAGAAATGTGGCTGTACGTACATTTTTGCCATTCCTGGTTATTGTAATTTTGACATTTGCACTTAATTATCCTTGTCACACTGTAATTAAACATTTGTTATCCATTATCCTGCCCCCCCCCCCAAAAAAAAAGGGAAGACGGGGGAATCAAGAAATTAACTCAATGAAAATTAAAAAAAAAAAACATCCAGAAAGATTTTCTCCCCTTTACTCCTTTAATCGCTTCTAAAAACGACACAGAAATGTTAGTAGCTTTTGTTGACCATTTTTTCCTCTTGTAAATCTGAAAATTCTGACACTTTTTGTCTCTCTCTTTTTTTTTGATTCCTTACAAATTTCAGGCTTAACAATCTTATCTGCAAAGTTCGTTCAATACCCCAAATGAAATCAAGTTGGAATAAATTTGTCTGACCACTTTTCATGAAATGTTTGTAACAATACGATTTATTCTCGATAGATAAATTTGATTTCTTCTCAGAACTTTATTGCTCAAACTTGATTTATTTGTGAAATTCTGAGAAGATATACATTTCGTTTATCTAGCATCAATCATATTTGCCACCGTCATTTCATGAAATGAGGTAAAACCATATTCTATTTTTATGGGCAACAGCGTATTCATCATATTCAATAAATGTCTACTTTGTGCAAAAACAAGTTGAGAGCAGTTTCATTTGTGAACGGAGTAAGGTTTTGGTAAAGGCCTAGATTAGTACAAAATGCCGTGAGAGGATTCAACAAATTCAGAAGGTTTCTGTAATAATACAGTCAAATCGATTCGAGGAAAATAAAATACAGACATGCATATTATGAGACATACACAAAATGAACGTGAGATATATATACGTAGATCAGTCGAAACAATACATAAAGATCAGTTCATGAAAGGGGCGGGCGGGGGAGGGAGAGAGAGAGAGAGAGAGAGAGAGGGGGGGGGAGAGAGAGAGAGAGAGAGAGAGAGAGAGAGAGAGAGAGAGAGAAAGAGAGAGAAGAGGGCGGGGGGGGGGGGTGTAGGGAGCGGTTAAGTGATGGATATGAGAGAAAGGATGCTCAAAGTAATTTTTCCTATAGATTGGAACCACCAGGCAATTTCGTTTAATGTAAATGTCAAGGCCAAAACTAGAATGCAACATATTTAGCAATTAGAAGTGTGTGGGGGATGTGGGTGCGATATGTGCGTGTGAGGAAGAGAGAGTGTAAGAGAGAGAGAGAGAGAGAGAGAGGGAGAGAGAGAGAGAGAGAGAGAGAGACAGAGAGAGAGAGAGAGAGAGAGAGAAGGAAAGCGACAAACAAACTTGAGAAGCACGGAAGAAAAGCCAGAGAGATGTAGGAATCAGAAAATGGAGACTATAACGGAAAGCTAAGGAGAAAAAAAAAAACATGGAAATGTGAACGAAGGACTTTTACAGAAAATGTAGACAGTTTCTAAGAGAGGGGGGGGGGGGGAGGGGGTGAGAAGAAAAGAAAGAGAGGTATAACGGATTTGAGGAAAGAGTGGAAGCAGTATGCAGAAATAGAGGGAGGAAGAGATATCATGATAGGGAGAAGGAGTGAGAAGGAAAGAGAGAGAGAGAGAGAGAGAGAGAGCGGGAGACAGACAGACAGACAGAGAGGAGGGAGAGAGAGAGAGATAGAGAGAGAGAGAGAGTGTCATTAAAAAAAAATTAAAAGCAAACAAGAACATCTTAATATGCAGCTAAAACTACTCCACCATGTTGAACGTACTCAAACATATCGCGAATAAAAACACCAACAAGGACACACTTCAGATCTCTGAATAGTACAAGTGGTATTTTTGTACCTATTTTCCCTACCCAAGTACTCAGGAAACTAGGCCAAACAGATTATAAAACTGAGCACAAGAGAGAGAAAGAGAGAGAGAGAGAGAGAGGGAGAGAGATAGAGAGATAGAGAGAGAGAGAGAGAGATAGAGGAGGGGAGAAAGCAGAAACATTGAAAATGGTTAAATTGAATCTTTCTTAAGCAAATTTTGAAGCACTTAAAAGACGAATACCTCGCTTCTCGCTCCTACTTAATATTGCCGAGTGCAATAAACGAAAGCGACGCACACAATTGAGTGAAAGAGTGCTTCATGATGCTGGTGGAAAAAAAAGGCATTTAAGCATAAGATGGTACGACAGCAATACAAGGATTATGTTGTTGTTCACGATTACAGTGTGAATATGTATATACACAGGCCTATATATCAAAGAGGTTTTTTTTTTAATAACAGGAGTCTCACCATGGAAGTGCTTGAAAGTAATTTTTCTCAAAAGCCATCTTAATTTATAAAACATTGGTGGTGTAACAATTGGTCTCGTGTTAAAGTGCAACGTCATCTCAAGGAAAGACAAAATATGATTGTAATCCCAAATGAAATTTATAATTTGTATAGAATGTATAACTAATACATAATTTGTTTACAAAATAAACATAGGCATAAACAGGATATTGTTTGCTGAGGGCCAAAAGGGTTTTGAGCTAATGTTGACCAAGAATGATTCAACACCATTCCAGCTCTCATTAGCCGGTTACATAACAAGAATATTGTTCGGAGTAACATCATAATTACATTCGTACATATCAAATAGCAAACTGAAATAAAGAACAAAACCACAACTTCTTTCAAGGGATTGGGTGTTTTTGTCTCAGATTCTCAACAAAATACTGGATTAAGCTCATGCTGCAATCATAATTATAAACATTTTGGTTTGTCAGGAACCCCATGACTTTTACAAGCCGGTCGCCTGTCTGATTACCAAGATATTCATGATTGGAATTCGAAATTTCAAAAACAACACTACAGTCTATTGGGGAAAATGAGTACCATGGTAAAACCGGTCAATCAAAGATTTTTACTTTTTTGAAGCACTTCATGATCATTTTGAAGCGCAATTTTTGTAGGGCTTCAATATTACACCATCATCACACACACTGATAACACGAAAGGCCATGAATCTCAGATGTTTAAAACTGGAAACATTGTTAAACAATGCCTTTAAGGCAAATTGAGAAAGAGAGAGTGAGCTAGAGCAAATGAGAGAAAGAAGTGAGACAACAGAACGAGGGAAAAAAGGGAAAGAAAGAGAGAAACAGTGCGATGGAGGGAGAGAGAGAGAGAGGGAGATTATTTATATATATATATATATATAGAGAGAGAGAGAGAGAGAGAGAGAGAGAGAGAGAGGGAGAGAGAGAGAGAGAGAGAGAGGGGGGGAGAGCGAGCGAGGAGGGGGGGGGGCAGTTGAGTATATATTCAGAACACTCAATTTGATAACTAGTTCTAAGGATATATTTACAATTGGAACCAGTCGAAACAAATATTTGATGTGACAAGTTTAGGCAACCGAATCATTTCGCATGATCATTTTATCAATGATATTTTCCAGGAAAAAGTTGAAACCAACGATACGAGACTGCAAATCATTCCATTTCTGCTTTGGAGCGGTTGCAAACAAATCATGACGTTGACATCATCCGCTGTTTCCGCAGCAATGATGAAACCAACAAAAAATGGTAAGATCTAAATTTCTGGTACGCTAATTTTGAATGACAGCTCATGAGGATATATCTTCTTTTTTTTTTTTATATCACACATAAATCCCGATTGATTCTTTCCAGAATTGATCGTACGTGTAATTGCGATTTTAGAAGTAGGTTAAGCGAGCGATTCAATAATTGGACCTCAGTTTTCAGCGTGTACCCCGAAAGGCAAAGGCCTTGGAATAATAGAAAGCGTGTATTCCATGTATATGTGACGTTGTAACGAAGCAAATATGGGCTGCATATACGAAATGGAATTTTAAAGGCAAGGACCAGAATGACCGCAAGAATTTATGTACATGACCTACGGAGAGTT